CTCTGGTGTAGGCATTGAAACAATCAGTTTCAAGGACAAATATATACATTATTGAAGCATATATATTTGCATGCTTTACCACAGATTTGATGCCTTGTAATATGTGTCTATTTGGTAGTTTTAATATCTTAACACCTGTATTTTGCCATAAAGGGTAAAGCCTTTTTCATAGTGGTACAGTACTATGTTCAAATGTATGTATGTTAAACTTCTTCTGCACCGTACGTATCCTTAACCACGCTAATCTGAGGTGCGAATGCTTGCATAGCTTTGCAATGCACAAATTTGGAATTCAGCAACATATATGACTCACACAATAAGTGGCGATCTACCCTCAGTTTACAAAGTATTATGCTGTAGGGCACAAGGGAAATTAATGTTACAGTAGCTTAGGGGAACAACTAATTGGCCAATGGAAACTAAACATTACTGTGCATGTGTGTCAGTGCCATGCCATGCGTGCTTACAAAAGTCAAAATGAATCGGCAGCTTCAAAATCCATACTCTAGGTGTGCCTGGGTGCAAAGACCTTAATTATAATTTATCATCATCATCATCATCCGCATGGCCAATTCACCTCCACCTTTCAGGATGTAACAATCCATAATGTAAAAATCCACCTACCATCTGCATACAAACTGAGTTCATCGCTCCATTTCCTCAGTGGACGTACTCTTGGACATATTAAATTCCTTGTCTGCCACGCTATTATTATTCTTGACCATTGCCCATAACCCTTTCTAGTTACATGTCCTGCCCAAGCCCAATTTTCCTATCAGTTTGAACTATGTCATTAACCCAAATATATTATCTAACCCATGTGTTACTCTTTCTGCCTCAATGTAATCCCAAGCTTGCTTGTTTGTCACTTTTCACTTTTATTCTATATTTCACATTATGGTTGTATGAATGTTTCATTTTCCAACAGTGTAAATCAGTAACTGCAGAAAATAACTATTATTTTGCACTTGAAGATCCAGCTGGCAGACACTGTAGACGAAACAGTCCTACATAAGCAGTTCATGTTTTATAAAGTCTACAAAAGCAGATTACAGATTGCAGCCCTATGCATTGATTAAATTCCCACTGTTGGATTAACCATGTGCCCTAACTAAAATGTGCTACATATAATAAAAGGGTTCCTATGATGAACGGAGTGCTTTAATAATGACAACAACGAATGTAAATCTGTTACAAAACGGGCAAATCCTTTTTGTCCAACACTGATATTTAAAAACCAAACGCGATAGTTCTCGGTAAGCAGTGGTGCATAAGCACAAAATAAAAAAACGCAACACATTCATCAATAACTTTGCCTTCAGAGGAAAAATAAAACATGACTGCATATGTAATAATAATAGGCACTTTTTGGGTGAATTCATAGCAGTGGTGCAATGAAGGACCATTTCCTCACAAGTTGCCAATTACAGTATTATTTGGATTATAAGATACACTATACCCCCTTTCCCCGCCCCCTGTATTTTACAGCAAATTAACCTCATGGCAGGACCCTGGTGTCCCGAATAAACGGAAGTAAAAATCGCAATTAATTATTTATTTTTGCCGATTCCGTCCCACCGCGCACATAAACGCCGCGACCCACCTGGCGCAGATCATTCTGTTGTCGTGTCGTCCAAGCGCAGCGAGGAAGAATGCGCAGAAGAGCTGAACAAGCGAATGCTCTCCATGCTCGGGTATGGGCAGGATCATAAGTCTTATCCAAAGCTGCTCAAACTGCCTACACGACTTAAGTCCTTTATGTGTCATAACGGTATAAATAATACAGTGAAACTGCTCTCTTATCTTCATTATTATTTGTGACCTACCAATGTCTGCAGCCAGGCTCAATCGATGACAATCCTATTACCTGCAGATATTTATCAGACGAGATGCGTTACACCGTTAATTCCTCCTTTTTGATAATACTTCTCTTGTCCGTATGCATCTGTGCAGATACATTTTTTTTGCGGTTAAGCCATAGACCCAACATACCTCTCGTATCAGTGCGGATAAGAGGAGCGGCGACCCACTACGCTGTAGAGTAACATTGGTATAAACGCTTGTAACAATATGAACAGCGCATTGAAAACGTGTACTATTTTATGTACTGTTTACAAAGTGTGTTCACAGATCCACACTGAGAAACACGATGATTGACAGAGGAGTGTTAAGATTTTTGTTCGATAGTGTATTTAAATAGAGGTACTGCAGGTAAGTAGTTTTCAGTTATAAAGGCATAGTTTAACAAGACAACCCTTGTCACCATCCTTCAAACCCATTGGTGAAATAGAGCAAAGTTTTTGTTTACATTATAATATGTTTATACGATAGCCGGGGGCTTATGGGACCCCGGGGTCCCGCCATAAGGTTGAAATGTCGGGTGGGCGTCTAATAACAATCCATTGTGTGTGTGTGTGTGACCAGATTTGTACCTTGACACGAGACACACGGTGGGGGGGGGGGGGGGTCTTACTTCCTTTTAACGTCGAGAATACCATGCCGACCAACGTATATCGTTTTTGTGGCAGTGCTATTGACGAAAGTGTTGAGGTCTAATTGATGATTTAAGTGAAAGAAGGAGGGATCTACTTTACCAGATATGCGACGTCAATTGTTATGCAAATACGGGGCATTTCTATGGCTTGATATTTGCTGTTTTTATTATTATATATATAGATGTTAAGAAATGCCATACCATATATTTCCCGTAAGTTTATTTAAAATTCATACACTGGGTTACCCCAGGAAGTCACTCCTTTGAAAGCGTTCCAAGTGGTGACACACTACCCGTGGCAGCTACTCGCCGCCAGTTAAAGAGCATCTCATGGGTAAATCTCGTAGTCTGCAACACCCGGGGCTGGAAAACACAAATACATCACCACCAACTCCTCCTCTTCAAAACCCCCACATCCACGTGGGAACACAAGGCCGAGTGCGAGGTACATGACGGTAACAATGAATGCACACGGTAGTTAAGCCTCATTACATCAAGCCCCGAGGAGGAGCGGTGGCACAGTGATTCACGCACTGGTGCTATTCACCCGGCAACCCGCACTCACCAGCGCTGTGAAGCACTGATCGACACGGCGTGGGATTAAGACCATCATACAGCAGTTGATTGCCCATGGCGCTCAGTATGTGCATTAGTATAGCAAACCCAGCCTTTATTGTGCTATACTGGGATGTGATGTTATGCTGAAATGCATACACGAATACCGCAGTATCACCATGGGTACATTTAAGATGGGTCACGGTCGAGTGCCAATGCAGCAACGCAAAGGAGCCAGGTTTAGTCGTTGTTCAGGCACCGCGGTGGCAAGATGTGAGCTACCTCTCTTGGTATACAGATTAGTCGTGGGTTCGATCCCGACCCTGAAGGTTGCTGTTTTTCCCTCCAATTTCGAATCAACGTGTGTTTAGCGTATTTGGCTGCAATATATTGCCACATGGTAAGCCACTTCATTGGGCTATCATTTGTGGCCAGGTCGCTTCTGAAAAGAGCTTAATATGTCAGTTGACCTTACCTGGTAAAATAAAGTAAAAAGTTTAGTTTTTAGTTTAGGGTGGACAAGTCCAGTAGAGGGCGCAGAAGTCAAGACATCGATTAGAGAACAAGTGCAGGTCAGCTGCCTTTTCGGTACACCTTGAACTTTATTCGAAGTAAAAAATACTTTATGAGCTGTTACTGGGGGTAAAAGGCACAGTGATTAAAGTAACCATGCATTAACGTGCAGTCCTTGGAAACATACGGCTACTAAATAGCCTTACTCCATAAAGCTAGCCCAACACTTTACAGATAATAGACACTCCTACAATAATGCTCAATTGAGCCGTTGTGGAGAATATGAGTAACAGTTTTAGAAAACGTTTATAAAAAGATCAATATTTGACCGAAAAGGCGACTCGTTACGAAAGAGGCAACAGACAATTATAGCACGATTTTGGACTTAAAACTAAAACGAAACCAGTGCAAACGACCAATCAAGGTCCTCATCCCACATCTTTTGACATCTAATCAAATTGTACTTGCCCGAAACGTTAGCTTAATTTAACATTTCAGTTAAAATCCAGTGCCAGTCTTAGTACAATTATGTTTCAGTAAAAATGAGTGACCCGAGTCGCTGAAACGGTCCGGAGATCTTACAGTAAGTTTCGTGTAGTAGCTTCAACAAACCAATCTTTCTCACTCCTTTCATTGAGAATTCTGGATCGATATTAAGAACAAATATATATAAAACAAAACTGCAGTTTACTGTTCGCAACACGACACCCTGTCCATGCATGCGTCATAACGGCAAACATAGTTTCGATAGCGATTGTTTAACATTTTTTTCCGTGTGGTTTCCTCTAAAAGGGCAAACCCCATGGAAGGGGGAATTCGAAATCGTCCCGCCCCACGTGGCTGGGGGGTTGGGGGCGCCCTGCGGGCGCCGGGGGCTGCCCTAGGGGCTGAGTCGCTACTCCTGGGATCAGGGATCGGTCGCTCCGCTCGCAAACTCCGCCTGCAGCAGCTACTGCTGCTGCTCCTGCTGCTGCTATGGCTGCTGCTGTCAGGCCATGCGTGTCAAACATGTAGTCGAGACGCGGCCTGCCAGCCACTCCGGGAGATCCACCGCGACCTCTCGGCACACGCTGTTGTAACAAACTCTCCTTGTGAGTACAACACACACTCACCACCGCTCCGTCTGCGCGCGTGGCCTGTCCTGTGTATTGTCGTAAAGGCATTAGTTACAATGTACTTGCTAAGCGTGGAGCGAGGCGCGGCACGCATGCGACTGAACACGTGAACATTGGCCAAGCGTCTAAGGAGCGCAGAGAGTTAAGATGACAACGTATTCCCGGCGTCGAGCGCTGCACCGATGGGGGAGTGGTTTCGTGGCAATGCAGGTGGACTAACCGGGGTCCCCGTGACACCTGTCGTCTATTGAGCCCTCCACCTGTCCCCACCTCTGACCGCCCCCTCCTCCCCAAAGTCGCAGGTGTTCTCCACTAAGAAGGCATCGCCTAGTCCCTCACTCCGAAAGCCCTTCGCCCCCCTCCCCCCAAACGCGTACAGGTGAGCGCCGGAGAGTGGTGGTGCAGCACAGGTAGACAAGGGCCGGCGCTACAGCTCCCAGCGATTGCGACGTAGCAGGGGGAGGAGGGGGGTCATACGGCATTGCATGGTGTAACGCTGTTGATGTGGAGTCCTCAAAAGCAGACCATTCCTTCACGCTGTTGTTGTAGTTGACGCGGTGCGTACTCGTTGAATATTTTTTCCTGTTAAAGACTTTTAGCGAAGAGGATCCTTGCCTTGGGATTCCTGGGCCAAATCACGAAGTGTGCTCGTGCATGCGTAGTGTACAAATGTACACGTACTGGTTAGTGTAACGCGCACAATACTGCTCTGCGGTGTGTGCAAATGGGCAGCTCCGTGTAAGATGTACGGTATGCGCAAATACCGTACGCACATATATGCAATACACCGTATATTTGGAAGTTAGGTAGAAATGTCAAATTTGCGAATATAAAGTTGTTTTACATTATCCTTCAATGCACTGTGTATCACATTCTGTCCACGTTTAAATGCACAAATAAGTGCAATGTACTCTAACAGTGGTAGCGGTCATATTGTATATTTACTAAGGGTACAATTATTGTAGAGCATACACAGTACCGTGTATTAGTCTTCAGACATATGACAACTTGTGTAGGCTGGACTGCAACACGTGTACTGCCGTATATACGCCAGCGCAGTGCTGAATATTGGAAAGAAATTGTCAAAATGTGTTCTGCTAAAGCCGCAGTAACATCAAAAGGCGCACGTGTTTTCCAAAGCTGCACAAAATGTTACGAGAAACGCTTTCACTGCGAATCAGTGCACATTCCCTCCTGGACGCTTCTCCCAAATCACTTACAAACCTCGTTCAATGAGCAACTCCGTGTTTATTACAACGTCAATTGTGCAGCCGATGCTCCGCAAACCGTAATTTCTAATAGAGTAGGCGTTCTTGGTGTAATCATATTGCCGTCGTTAACTTTAGAAAGTGAATGGAGCCGTGTATACTCTACCTGGCTTCGCAGTGCTGCTCTACATATCGACCCCCCCGCCGCTCTCCCCCATCACTTGGGAGCGAACAAAAATAACCTCGACTTTGTTTGTCTTTCCGAAATAGCTAAACAATTGTGATCGATGAAATATACGTGTCCGTGTGGTTTGCGTTACTTCTATATGCGGTATTCTTGTGGGTAAGTGAGGTTGCGTTATCGGAAAACAATCGTGATGGTTTGGATAAATAATGTGCTGCGTTTAAGGTGTCTCCGGCTCTTCTCGCCGTATTATACAGGATTACAATCCCCAAATACCTCGAGAGCATGGGCCAAACTTAACTTGACAAATGGTCAACGCTTAGAAAACGCTGAATAATTACGAATTGCAATTTAATGTAATAATGTGTGATTTGGGGGCTAGTTGCACTGTGCATACGTTTACGCGAGTAATTGCTGATGTTTAGCAAAAACGCATTGTTTTCTCGTGAATATTTTGTTAAGCTCTTCAAACCCACGTCCCCAGTGGCAGAGTGTGATAATTTGTTTTCTTTGATGGTGCTGTAGCTTTTGTGAGTGAGTGCCCCGTCAATAGAGATTACATGAAATGCAAGGGGGCTGTGGGACAACTAAGTCGCATCACCCCCCCCGCCTCCAAAGAAACCGTGGTAGTGTAGATAGCAAGGTGGTTTATTATGCAACTGAGATGCGTCGATGAGTATAAATTAATGCAAATAAGACACGGGGGAGCAAAATAGGAAAACAATGGTCGGGTTACTTGCTTCCGGGGTTGTAAGGCAAATGGAACGCAAATGCACGAATTTTTTTCGTGGCAAAAAAGGGATTACAGCAGTGTCTTTGTTGTACATACATAGACTTTTCCCTCCCGCCCCCCCCCCCCCCCGTCAAATGTGAGTTAATTAAATTTCAAAAGGTAGCTACATGTATTTTCTTTCTCTCTCTCCTAAAATATGCGCATTTAATTTTCTCGTGTGACCTTTTTGAAAAACATTTGCACGTGGAAAGTGGCTTGATTAGGTGCCAACATCAACACGAGTATTAGTCTCGTTATTTCCATGGCTAAAGAAGTGAAAGCAAGAAGTAAAAAATAAACCGCATTGTCCATTAATTCAGAAATTACGAAGCACCGTCATTTGACACTCACGAGTACTGTAGGGAAATGTAACCTACCTTTTTACTAATTGCACCCACTTGATAAACTATGGTGAAATAACATAGTGCTATATTTAACTATTGTTTCACTGGTTTAGGCGTAGCTGATAATAACTTAAAGGAAGCACATGAAAGCGCCATACACTTCAATACTTACACAATATTTTTAAGAATGTATCGTCCTCCGTGTCAATCCACTGCTAGATGAAAACCTCCCCCATGCCCTTGTCAGTCATGGGGTTGTTTGGCCATACTGCACCCAACTGATCAGTGCAGGTTGGTGAACATTGGGGACCGGTTGAGACAACACTCACTTCCAATTTTATTTTTGTTTGAAATGGAGCCGAGGTGAACTGGGTTCATAGTGTAGGGCACTAGCCACTAATCCACGACTCCCAAACTAATTTAACAAAAATTTTTTATATCTATTTTACAAATGGCCAATTGGCCATTTGTATTTTTGGTAAAAAATACAGATTAAAGTCGTGAAAAAAGTTTAAAATAACTCAATGCTGCACACCATGCTGTTATTAAAAAAAATGTGTAACAGAATATTTTAATAGTATCGCAATGTGCCTAAACATACATTGCTTCTACAGTGTGGTTAAAACTTGCTTGCCAAGCTGTGACAGTGGGTGAAGTTGAATCAGTATCTGAATATTATAAGGTCTTCAACATGTTGCAAATGATAAAAACTAAATTTAGTTTAAATATAAAAAAAATCCCCATTACTGTTGCCCGATTATGAGCTACAAGATTTTTGCAGCCAGGTCCAAAGTGCAAATGCGGTTCGGCAGGCAGGGTTTAATGCTGGGGCGAGTTGCATATGTAATAAATTGCTTTTTTTCTGAAGCCTCGTTCTGCCGGGCTGTATCTCTGACATTCCTGCTGGCAGACAATGACAGGAGTTAATGGTGAACGATGTAAATTGCGGCGATGGGCCCTCTGTTGCGCCTAGCTTCATTCGGGCCCCGCTGATTGTACAACTGGCAGGCGGCTGACTCCTCGCCTCTCGCCTGCTTGTTCTGGAAATTACACGCTACATAACTGCAGATTAAGGAGCGAGCGAAATGGCATAATTTTAATTTTACACGGCGACCCCGGGGCCATTTAATTTTCCATTTAATTTTTCTCGCCCTTTGTTTGCCTTCGCGCGGTCATTATGGCGGCAAGATTTTTACAAAGCGTTTTAAACTTTGCATACCCGTGGCGGTAATTAAATTTCTGGAAATGACTGCGCGCTTCCTGTGAATGCTTGGCTGTCAGCTCAATGGCAGGCGGGTGGTGTGTTAGGAACATGCAAGAGACGCACACAGTGGTTCCGTGCAGATAGAGATCCCAGCCAGCCCGCTGCCCCACGCAGTCTGGCCCCCACGCCTAAGAGTGATGCTGTTTACCTGGGGATTTCTTGCAGAACCCTGGATGGAGATGGACGCAGAGGGCTCCCTTGACCATATGCGCAACTCAGGTGAGTTTAGAGCTTTAGATATGAGTGATTTGTTACTCAGTGCCAACACAGCCTCAGATTGGAGTATAATTCAATGTACTTCTCCTAAGGGCTAGCTAAAGTGTAAAATGAAAACATGATTTAGGCATCGCTAGACCGCAAGAAAATGTGTGCGATCTATTTCACGTGTCATCTTAAAAGGCTTGAATTTGACCAACTTGACAAGTTTCATTTGACATCCAGATTTTGAGAAGGTATGTTGAAACTGCCATGCTGCATAACACTAACAGGTATCAACTGCTGAGCTGTTTTCTCTTCATCTGTTGAAGTGCATTACAGTCAAAAGAAAGATTTATTTTAAAGTGAAAACTTTACATTTGAATTTATGTCGAACGAAGGTAACAAATTAAGTTAAATTCATAGTTATATGTTCGGATGAGACTGTACAAATATTGCATGTCTCTATGAATGGAGTGGGATATGGTGTATGGTTCTAAGAAATGGTCATAATGGGACGTTTAAGTGTCCCATGGCAGTGACATGAGTAAAGTGAGAAAGATCTCTGAACGTATATTAAAGGAACGCAGTATGTCAAATAGCATTTTTTGATGTTTTTTCAGGTCGTTTTGACCTATGTCCAAACATACGGTACACGTTTGAAATAATAACGCTCAGGAAAAGTACAATTCATCATGTTTTACATTAGTACTGAACTGTCATCATAACATTGGTTATAAGAAATAATATAAATACTTGGTGGTTTTTGTAAGTACAGTATTGATATGGCAAAGGCTCATACCAATACGGAAATCATTTATCTTTACTTAGCTGTTTTTATATTGGTGTTTTGTATGATAACTTTAATATTTTCTGCACACCTTAATGATGCTCCGAAATACATTAATGCTAACATCTTTTTTTAACCTTTTAACTTGTGTTGACGATCGGAAAATATAAGTTGTGTTTGTTATGTTTCCTCATAGCGCTGTCACAATCAAGTACATGCTTCAGGAAACAATATTCAAAACTCTCACGATTACTTTCCCAAAGTCTGCATAGTAGTAGTGCAGCAGCAACGGTGGTAGTAGTAGTAGGTAATATCAGTAAATAATATAGCTCTTCAGGACTGAAACTCATAAACATTTGTTTTAAGAAGGCTCAAGCCTCCACGTAGTAGCCGCCTGCCATGTGGTCTGACGCACGCCGGCACTGCCACCAAGAAGCTCTGTGCCCAATCGCTTGGGTGAGGGGGGCAGCCCCCGGGGCAGCTGTAACCGGTACGTTTCAGGGAGTCCCACGTGAGTCACCGACTCTTCTTGGTAAATGTCGTGGCAAAAGTGTGTGTGTGTGCGCGAGCTTACTGTGTGGGAAGCTTTTTTCGTGGGATATTCAGAAGCTGGCCATTGGCGGTTTGCAAACGGTAGCATTTGGAGGGAAATTGAGCAATTATGAAAAACAAATACCGTACGTTAATGTCTCGCCATTTTGTGAGATATGCATGTCGTCGTAATAATGGTATTACAATATGTTGTAGAATAATGCTATCTTATTTCATAGGATTGTAAATGTCCTGTTATTTGTTAATTCCAAGTTCTATTCAGAAATTGGAAGTGCACTTATTTTGAAAAAGTTAAGAACAGTTATGTTCTTACCATCCACTGTTTATCTCAATAAAAATAGTTTTTCTTAGAATATCAAAGTGAGGCTAATGACCATAACACACATTGCATGAAATTAATGGTGTTAAAATTCGTGGGAAAAAAACATTCAAAGGGACTAAATATGTCACACTATGTATAAGGTTAAGTGTCTCTGTTATCGTTCATTTAAATTACATTGACAGACCAAACATAATTACTGCACTCATAAAACACTCTAATTAGGTTCAAATGTAGAACTTTGGATGCTTGTAAAAAAACATATTTTGAGAGTGTCAACCTCCTGGGAGCATCTGGTACAATTCAAATAATTTGATTGTGGCATTGTCTGAAATTACCTTTTTTTTTTTTTTAAATTGTACTCGGATCCAGCATATTATAGTCCTACTAGTTCATAAAGTCTTTTTTCGCCAGGCAAAGGTTTTCCATAAATAAAATAATTAACCTGATATGATTTTTTTCCAATTTGTATCTACGATCAGACACTAACAACTAATCCCAAAAAATGAAATTGTTGACGACTTGATTCAACTTCTTATATTTAAAGACGGACTCATGAAACTGCTCGATCTAAAAATTATGTTCTTTTTTAATTAAAAGAACAAAAATGTATGAACTTAATACTCTTAAGAGGGGAAGCTCCTAATTTTTTTACCATTTTCGTATTATTCAGATTTGAACATCATAAAGTGCATATTATTTCGTTCAAAATCACTCGAATTCTAAATATCTCAAAAACAATAGATAGAAAAATGGTTCTTGTTTTAATTTTATATGCTATTTAACGCTCTACCAAACACAAAAAAGACTTATACTATGAACGGTTTCTGAATGACACGCACAAACATGTTTATGGGGCACTTAAAATCGAGGTTTTGGGGCCTTTAAATGTAACTCGGTTTTTCATATTTGTGTCATTAAAGCTACCTAATTACCAAATGTCAGCTTTCTACCTTGTCGAGAAGTATCCAAAAGGTTTTTGAGACATATAGGTAAAGGTTTTTATTCATATAGATAGATATGTAAATATCTTTCAGATTCCTTAACAGCATACATTTTTGGTTTGCATTTGTATGGAAAAAAGATAGCTTCGTAAACTGAGTGCATCACAAATATGTTTGAAGGTATTTTTTTACGTGTTGGTATGAGTGACCTTAGAAGGCTGCCCCAATATTGAGTTATGTGGGAATGTGAAATGTCCCGCAGCACTACTTGCCTGATATGTTTTCTGTATCATACTAAGACTTCATGTCAATTTGAATGGACTCGATTTTTATGTAAATTTACCAGAAAATGTTAACGTTAGTGTCACTCGTGACAACATATATGCTGTCATTTAAGACATTGTTGCAGTTTGTTTTCTTTTTAGTGTAAATTATCTATATAGTACAGTAAATATGAGGCAGTGAACACATTTAGAAAACATAGTACTGGACTGCATTAAATCTATGCACAAATTACAACTGAAAATTTTGTTGAAAATGTATGTCTGTTGAAGTTCTTTCACACCATACGTAGCCAACGGTGCTAATCAGAGGTGCGGGGGGGGGGAGAACAACAAACGAAACACAACAGGCAGTTCTAAAGAAATTAGTTTTCAATCTAGATTGAAAAGTGCATAGCTCCAGTGGTTTCCTAATATCAGAAGGAAGAGTGTTCCAGACGGCCGCATGATTAATATAGCCTAACATTGAGTGAGTGTGATATGTTTTAGTGTTGTATATTGTTTACCTCGTTGCATAAGCCACTGTAAAAGGAGAATGTAAAAAAAAACAAATCTGCATTACCATTAGTGCACACAAAACAAACGAAACCCACATCATGACTATCATCATGTAGACTGCCTTGTAACAAAGTACATAGCAGATTAAACATTACTGGCAAGGGTCATTCTATTGCGCTTAAGAAGGGCCACCCGAAAACTATTACCTTTCGACATGTTCTGTTTCAGCATAAGGCAGCGTTAACAAGTGGCGTTGAGGTGCTTTCGGTTTTTGAAAAGGTAACAATTACACTTCAATTGTGTTAGGCATTCTGTATGTTCTTTGCTGGTAAGTTATAATGTTAAAAAAGTCACCCTTGTGAATTTTCATTTACTGCAGAGCACAGCACTGGAATGTCGGGGTGTGGGTGCTTTACAGTGGTCTAAAAACAATTTAACAAAACATCATTACAGTATTGTATCAGAACTTAAAATTGGCCTCCTCCGCCACATTTTCTAGATGTATCTGCCCAGCTCAGTGGAACATGACAGAAGCAAACAAGCCAGTTTGATCATTAGCTCACTACATTGAAATATGATATGCAGTAATTTAAGGAATTTTACAGTACATCCGAAGGTAAGACCTATGTGAAGGTGCAAAACTGGTTCAATCACATTTTACACTCTTGTACATTGCCCGTCACACCCAATGTCATCGGGATCCTTTGCTCCGAAGTGTGCATAGCCGTTCGCAGTTGAATTCAGTATTTTCAACGTTTTGTATGTACGTGTGTGTATAGACTATGAAAAAAACCAACGTTATAAAAGTGATTATTCTCCCCTCTAAACACCTCGTTTCAATGTTCATTAAATATCTATATGTGCAATTGTGTTGAGTGTTCTAAATGTATACATTTATTTCCAGGCAAAATGGAAAAAGGGTAGCTTGAATTGATTTTAACATTTGAGCTGTCAGTTGTTATCAGTTGAATGAAATGTTATTGTACTAGAGAGTGATTAACTGGTGTTTAGAGTGCTTGACCCATGGAAGCGCTGGCATTATTTTAATGCTTTACAGTTGTTAATTTCTCCGTGACTGTGAGCTCATTAATTGGAGGAGAGAAGGTGTAATACCAAAATACAACCTTAATATGTGATTTTCGGCTCTTTAAAATGTAATGTTAAATATAATTTAATATATATTAACCTTACATATGCTTCTAGTAAAACATACCTTCATCATATTTTTTACTTAAAACTTTCGTGACTGTAGGAATTCATATTCTATGATTATTTCGGTAAAGTCACGTAGATAGGAAAATAAAATAATAAAAATAAAGTTAATAAAAAATAATTAAATATCACGACGTTTCGATCGCAACACAAGCGGTCGTCATCAGGAACAGGGCTTTCCAATGATTGCTGAGTTTAAAACCGTCGTCTCGGTTGAAATTGTGTCTGTGTCTGCATATATGGATGGCTTCGTGAACGAATCTTTGTTGATAGCCAGTCGGCTGGCAAAGTACCATCGTCTTAGAGAAATCAATTTCACGTGAGCCAGCCGCATTAAAGTAATGATCAGCCATGGCAGAAGAATTGGTCCTGCCGTGTCTCAGGTCTGCCTTATGTTCACGAACACGGTCTGAGACATGTCGTTTAGTTTCACCCAATGCAACTGCTGCCGCAGATATAGCTTAGTTTGTAGACGCCGGGATATTGCATGTCAGGAATGTTGTTCTTCACAGATGGGATCAGGTCATGAATTTTATGCACTGTGTTAAATCAAGATTTTGAAAATATTTTTGGTTATCCCTGCTATGTAAGGTAAGGTGATGGTTTTGATTGGATCTTCAGATGGCCATCACCCCAACCGTCAGGAAGGAGCCCTGCTCCTGATGACGACCTCTTGTGTTGCGATCAGAACGTCATGATATTTTAATATGTTTCATTTTTTTTCCCTATCTACGTGACTTTACCGAAATAACCATAAAATATACCTTCATCATAGTTATTGTACATACAATTATAGTTGAGTATTCTATCGTGTACACAATTATCACTTGCATATGTATGATATCTAATACCTTCTACACAATTAGTGCGAATAACCTGTACGATTCATTCCTGGCAGGGTGATAAAATAATATTCTTCAGAGATTCCAAGATAAGTTAAAATTATAATTAAAAACTAATGTTGCAGTGTGCATTGGAATACAATTCAACAGTCTATTGGCACACTATCTTGTTTACGCTTCTATAAAAATGAAAAAGCCTCATTGATGTAAATATTATTTATTTCACTATATATTTTTTTTATCACAAGTGTAATGAGGAATGACTAAACTTGGCATCAGTATTCGCAAGTGTTATTATATACGCAATAAATACAGACATTTTGTGCACTTTTTGGAACAATACCTAGTTTATACTTTTTTTTATATAATTATGATATTAAAATTTTTAATGGGACGTGCAATATCAAACTAAGATTATTCACATACACCCACAAACAACACACCGATTGTGAAGATTGGTTTTCGTATGTAACTAAATATTTTGTCCTTATTCTCACAGTGATATATTCTGGTGTAAACCTTACTTTCGCAACAACATTTCTGCTTTAAGTTTGCATCACTATCACTCAATGAAGCCAATTAGATTCAAACCAGTGCTACGTATTAACTAGAAAATAACATTTTCACAACTTGTGTGAAATATTGATTTTCACCGTAATGCCCAAACGATAACTTCAACATCAAATCTCAGCCACATCGGCAGGAATTAATATGCACGTAACGATGTTTAACACGTAGGCTTTTGAAACCAATATTATTGATAAAGATTTTTTGGGTCCCTGGTCTTAAGCACACGCACCTCTCATTCCAAAGAAATGTAAACCACGCAACAAAGTTCATGGAAACAAAGGTGAGAGAGGAGGGCTCATGTGTTTGCGCTCTGCCTGCCGCAGCCAGCCCCGTCAAGGCGGAGGGCGATGGTGGCAGCGCGCAGCCAGCCGACTGCTCCGGCTTGCTCGGCTCCGTGGGCATCGGTGACGACGAGAGCCCCTTCGAGGAGTTCCCCACCGTGCCGATGGCTCGCAATGGAAGCCCACTCGGCACGCCGACAGAGATGGACGATCGCGCCAGAGACGAGGAGATGTCCTGCTCTGGGGGGATCCGACTGCCCAATGGGAAGCTGAAGTGCGACATCTGCGGCATGGTCTGCATCGGACCCAACGTCCTCATGGTGCACAAACGCAGCCACACAGGTAAGTCACCCGCAACGGCGCTGGCTCCCAAGATTAATTAATGATAAATTGTAGTCGGTGATGTATCATAATGATCCTCAATATGGCACGTGGTGTGGCGGTGTAATGTTCAATAATTTTTCAGTGTGTTGCTGCTTAAGTGTTGTATACCCCTCTGCTACCCTATAGACTACACGGCACTTATGTATATTACCACGATGGAAGCACAGCATACCATTTTGTCTACACAGTCATTGATATTTGTCAAGGTTGTAAGCTAAGTCTACAATAATGGTTTGCATACAATGGCTTTTCTAGCTTAACCAATGTATGTAAACATGTATGTAAACATAACACTGTAGCTTAAATAGTGGTTATTTCATCAATGCTAAATGTACTTTCTAAACCTATAATACTGGAACACGAAACATACCATTTGTTATGAATGATTTGAGTGATGTAGCTCTCTATTGCACGTGAATGACACGTTCTCTTGCGCACGTGCACATGGGGTGCAAACGCTGTTGTAGGACAATAATTGTGTGACATTCTGGCCACAGATCTCTTAATTTAAAGACATAATTGACATGGCTGCAGGAGCACTTTGATTCCGCCCTGCGCCAAAACAGGGGAGAGCAACTTTAAGGAAGCCGGCATATGTAATGATTCCATTCAGATGATACAAACGCCTTTGTTTTTGAAAGGTTTATGTACCAGAAACTACCGATAGAGCCAATTTAAACCACAGTAACATTTGAATAATACATCTGGCCGAGCCAACTTAAACTACAGGGAATTGATTGTTTAACGTTAATTTATTTGAGTGCAATATTGTCTATTTATCATGTGACGTGGTTGTTTTTTGCTCTGATTTCTAATCGCTTCATTACTTTAGTTATTTTGGTGACCCAGGCCTTTCTTGCAAATGAGACTATCCTGATCTCTTGACTTCTCACCTGATTAAACAAATAAACGTGTGCTTGACTTGTAGATTAAATGCTAATAATGTCTTACATTAGTCAAAATTGCAAGCTAAATACGTTGGAAAATCCAAGCGGTTATTTTATCCTGTAAGTATGGTACACACTGCAAATGACAACTCACGCAAAGTGCATAGCTCGAAGATACTGCGGATATACTATATTTACGGAAAAGTTATACTTTGTAATAAAGGAGAAATATGTACGTGAAATATGAAGTAAATTTACACCATACTTACGTATTAAGCTGGTGGAATTTTCCTCATGTAATATTACGTTATATCCTAAATGTACAAACGTAAGCGTAATAATATCTTGTGCGTTGTAAACTCCTGTGAATCAATTAAACGTTCACCATTTATCGAGGTAAAATGAAGGACAGAAGACTGAAGTGCAATATGCAGTTATTGCAATGATGCCGTTTTTTTTTGCTTGAGAAAGACTAAGTGGTGTATAAATAAAAGAGGCTCTGTTCGGTTCGCCAATTCGAAAGCATTGCTTTCCACTGCGTTACATATGCACGCCACCGCTTTGTTTTTCCCGCGGCTCCAGGCGAGCGGCCTTTTCACTGCAACCAGTGCGGAGCGTCGTTCACCCAAAAGGGCAACCTACTACGCCACGTCAAGCTGCACACGGGAGAGAAGCCTTACAAGTGCCACCTGTGCAGCTACGCGTGCCGGCGGAGGGACGCCCTCACCGGTCACCTCCGCACCCACTCAGGCACGCGCGCCGCACACATACACACACCACCACCCAACCCCCAGAACCACCAGCGGGAGCGCAGGGCGCACGGCGCTGGACCCAACGACAGCGCCAATGCGTTTTACACAACACGTCGTCGTTTCGCGGGCGGACGGCGCTAGCCCCCGACGGCAGCGCCAACGTGTCTCGTGCACGAAAGATGATCGCTCCTGTTCGCCGTTAGAAGCTTGCATGACATATGAGTCTTAGGCAACCCTGTAAGACAATTACTAAATATTTAGCTAATTGGGAGGAAATAAAGGACGAGCCTAAAGGCTCATTTTATTGAACTTTGTCAATTTTGCATTCAATTTACAATTGGTATAATATTCGACATCTCCTCCTGATTCTATAAATCCTGGTATTTTGTGTGTGTGTGTATTGGTATAATTATAATGTTAATATATTAAATCTCTGAACAGGTCTGGTGGATATGTGAACGGGCATAATGTTAGTTGAACCTATTATATTCAGTTATCACATTGACAACGTTTGCAGTGGCGCAACACTGTTTCGTGAAGATTGCCAGACAAAATCTCAGCTGTGCTCGCTCACAGTGACCGTCGGTAGAAGGGTAGCCAAGGGCAGGCACATGGAAGCCATGCCCAAACACTGGTACCATTGCTCCCAGGAACCCCCTACTACTCACTCACTGTGTGTTTGTAATCATGCATTTGTCAATGGAAGTGAGTGTAATAGTGCCAGTCTTTTTTATTTTTCTGTACTCAAATATATATCATTATGTGTTTGTATTCAGCACTCATCATCAGCCATGTTCTATTTACTTTTGGATGAAGGCCACCCCAAGACGTCATTATCTATTATGGTCCTGCTTTTAGAATAGTCTAGTTCCTGCACACGAGTTGATATCATCCCTCTGTCCGGACGTGCTCTCAGACATATCCCCTCACTTGACTGCAACTCTCTTGTCCGTCTCGAACACCGACCGTCATCCTTTTTAGCAACGTATCACACGCAAATCCACTTCAAAGTCAACTTCATGTCTTAAACTTGCATATGTTCTCTAATCCATGTGCTCATATTCCCGTCTCAGTGTAGTTCCAGGCATGTGCTTCTTCGTGTTTTTTTAGAGACTTTTTAGGTTTTGTTCCAATGTCTTGTTCTGATTCATATGTCATTTGTATGTGTACACCGTTGCATTTTTTTCCCGTTGTGTCTCTAACAGATATCTTTAATTTACATTCCTCTTCAGTGATATGTACATTGATTATACTGTATATGTCATTACATTATACATTTATATTTCATAATATTGCCGCCATTAAAAATATAAATGCGGTCATGTATTCAGAAAAAAACACATGTCTTCTCATGTTGTTTTGAAGGTTATTTTATAGTATTTATTCCTCACCTATGTATGATCTGCAGCAGATCATTTGGGCACTTAATAAAAAAAAATCTAGATATGTATCAAACATAGTGCTCCAAGTTATATATATGTGTTAAATATAAATTTTTTGAAGTTAGTTTTCAGAATGGACACAGAAGCTTTCGCTGCTCTAATAATCACCAATTGGTATTTGTTGTATGGCTTGCTGGCATCAATATTGCTTAGTATTTGTAATTTAATTAAATGTATCCATAATATAATTTTGTTTGGGTTAGATCGCGTAAATATATTAATGTGTCGTTAAAATCCGCCACCACTCGACACACCGGTGTGCTGTACTAGTGACGAATTGGTATGTTCTGTTTACGTGACAACCCTTACTAGTTGGCTGTGTCGGGTGGTGGTGGGTTTTAATGACACATTTATATATTAAGCGATCTAACCCAAAAAAAACCAATTATGGATGATATTGGTCATGAAAGCCTACATGTTAAACTGAATTAAATGCAGCTTTGTATGCATTTCCATTATATTGTACGATTCTAAATGGACTAAAAGGCAAATACCAAAACCAGGAGGCCTGCAATTGACACCAAACAGCACAAACATGTGGCTTTTGATTATAAATAATTATAATTGTAAAAACTTTGGCCCAGATTCACATAGTGGCACACATTGACGTGTTTTCACCAAACGTGAGAAAAAAATAAACCTATTCCAAAATGTTAATCAAAGCCCTATTGTCCTATGACACACAAAGATACAACTAAAAAAATGTCGTACACGCCATCAATGGCAACCATTCCAACACCTCCAATTCGCACGGTGGGCTATGTACGGTGCAAAACAAGTTCAACATACATATATGCACACCCAAGCATACAAAGACAAATACCCCCAATACAGCCTTTATCAGACTGTTGGAGCAAGTGCTGTCAGCGAGCATCTATGAAGGCCAACAAGGCACATGACGGGGGTGGGTGGCCAGTAACACGCCTGGCAGGCTTTGTCTCCATAGTGGCGATGTTTATACACCACACCAGGGTACTCATTTGAGGCTGCATCACCTTAGGGGAGGAACAGAACTGATTCAGATGATCGTCACTGGTGTTGTCCGTGAGCGGGAATTGAACTTGGGTCGTTGGGTTAGTTCCCGATCCCCACACAGCCAAGCATACACATGCATGTACGACTGAGGGCACCGTTACTCGCTACTTCTAGTATGCAGGAGTTAAATATAAGCAGCTAAATGGCCGTTCGTGATTATATATTTTGCAGGGGGAAAATGGAATTGGGGGTTTAGGAGTCCTCTGGAATACTATACTCCGCTCGTAATTGTAGTCAATGCAGGAGCCATTTATCACGTAAGAAAGGTCTCGGCGGGTTCTTATTAAATGGGAATGAGAGGGAATATCGCATTCATGGTGGGGAATACTGAGGACAAGATACAGAAATAGATATAATTAATGAGACGGTAGAGTATAATGAGTTACTTAACAATTTAATGGAATTCAAAGTTAGGGGGCAGATTAAGATTTTGAAAAGAAACACATACAGCACTGTTGTATGACCACTTGTGATAACAAATGTACATGATTTTAACCAAGTTAATGTTTCAGTGATGGTTATAAACAGGAATTATCCTAACCACAAATAATTTAGAGCAATTTATGAAGCCACTTCTGGATAAAGGCCACCCCATACCATGATTCATGGAATGTATTTAACCATACTTCGCCACACTGGTTAATGTGGGTTGTCGAAGGGTGAGACGCAAGATCGGTTCAGACATCAATAACCACTCATGTTAGCCATATAAGGGAATCAAACTCTAAGTTTATGTACACATAGTGCAGTGCCTTGCATCACCACCTTGATAATAATATAGTAATTGATTTTTTTTTAATAATCAAAATAATCAAAATTATTTAAAGCCTTAAGCCAATCCACTGCTCGATGAAGGACTTTACACTCAGGTTGTCACTGACCACTGATGTTGGCCACATCTGCAAATTTACTCAGGTCACCAGGTTAATAGCTCAGTGAGCTAACCACTGTGAGACCACTCCACCGGTTATTGTCAAATTAAATTGAAAGTAAAGCTCCTGTAATAAAACAATTAGAATATAAACAAAAGTTACGAAAACAACTAAATAATGTCATGCATGTCAGGATGGAACCTTAAAATGAAGAACACTGGAGCTTGCAATACTGGATTTGATGAGTGCGGTAGGTTGCATATTTTACCCAAATATGTTTTTCAAGATTCAGAAAGTTCTGCTAAGTTTTTAGTCGGTATCTTCAGGGTTGTTTGGGTAACCCCACAATACTCGGCTATGGTACAATCCATGGACCTCTTCATTGGCTCCGATCACCTCTAATTGTAGAACCATGCTTGTGTTTTCCCTTTTTCGTTGCTATTAAGGGTGTGTGTATGGGTTTGCGCGCACCCTTCTTTCTCTGGTGATGTTAAGGGTGTGTGTTTGTGAGCATCTTTATTTTTCTTGTGCTGTTAATTGTGCGTGTGTGTACGCGTCCTTCTTTCTCCTATGCTGTTAAGGGTGTGTGCGTGTGTGTGTGCGCGCGCGCTTTTCTTAGTGGCGAGCTGGGTGCTCAATAGGGAGTGTAAGAAGATCGCAAGTCTTGTTTATTTATTTATTTGTGCCTTTAAATATGGCCTTTCCAAATACTAATTTTAATGTACAAAAAATATAGTTATCTTCAACAAATAAGTGGAAGAGTGCACATTTTTTTAAATTGTATTTTAAAAAAAATAATGAAAAAAAATGAGAATGAAAGAAAATTAAGTAAATCTCAAATGTAAGTGCCACTCTGTGTGTTATTGCACTGTGTTCAATTACCTTAATTTAGATTTGGTTAATTGGCTCATCGTGGTATAGGCCGGGGAATCTTTGTTTTAAATCATTTTAATTACGTGATTTTATCTTTGTGGATGTCACTACCAGAATCAATATATAAATGTAATTGGTATAGGCTTATAGACAGAGCAATCATTGATAATAAACAAATAATATTTCTTCTTTGCATGTCACTACCAATATAACGCGAAAATAATTAAATGTTCTATGCTATCACACTTAATAGATCAAGTTTTATTTCCCTCCCCCTATCTTTAAACAAGTTTGCAGTTCCAATAAACTGTTATATTTAAAGTAAAAAAGTGCTATATGTGCTCAAGCATATATTTAACACTGCTTAGATATAATATATGCATATATACCGTGTGTAGGCTACTGTTTCGCACACTTACCATTGAGGCAATTTGTATTGGTGTTATGGTTCACATTCCACGACATCTGCTCAGGACTACTGCAGAAAACCATTAAACCATGCCACCTGATAACAAGAACATGTTAAATCTACATGCATAAACCATTGCAGTCCTCTACCAAAGATCAAAGAACAATATAAAATGTTTCAGCAAATACAAAAAAACAAATGTATATGATATATCCCTCTGAAACATATCTGCTGGAAGACTTATAATTGGCTTATTTCTGATGAGTTATTTTAATATACCATGCATTGTATAGTCACATGCAAGGACTTTGTACCTCCACTGGGAACATTTGCCAGGGATTGTGCCGTGGTGTAACAGTTAACACACTGGACGTGCAATGCAGAGGTCAACGGTTTGATCTCTGGGTGCAGCAGTTGAAACAATGGGCAAGTTATCTTAAATCCCCGCTACTGCCCACCAAGCAGGAGAAAAATGGATTCACCACAGTCAATTGGAAAGTCACGTACGGTGGGGGAAAGAATGGGTACACCCACTTTTTTTGCAAGAGGTATGGCCAGCATGGTTGAGTCGGCCAAACACCATCTAAGAGTTCTCTTTAGTGGATGCCCTTCCACTAGTCGTGGTGTAAACAAGCAATTGCAGGGCTGTACCTTCATATTTTCTCCTTGTGTGCATTTACACAATGTTCACTTTATCACCGAGTTTTACCTGTAAACCTTGTGCTACAGCAATATTCCACATGTGGAAATGCGTTAAAATAATTATATTTGAGTGATTATACTTGGAAGCACAATTGTTCGCACTTAAAATTGGACAATGGAATAATGTTGCTATATTATTTGTTATCACGAGAAGAAGGAATTGATTGGGTTTCATAAATATGCAATGTGTTTTTTTTTTAGACAACCCTTAATTATATTATGCTTTCAATGCCTCTTTAAAAAGCACACTACTCCCCAAAAATCAAGTTAGTTTTTTTTAAATATACAATTGCTTATTCAACAAAACTATGACTCTTTTCCAACACTAACAACAATATGAGTACGAGCAGCTGATTTGACACCATTGAATGACTAGAATGGAACAACATTAACACTTGTAATGTTCAAATGTTTAGGTCCTACAGAATAGCGTAAAATAAAATATAAAGTCTGTCCTGCGAGAAATATCATATGTTCAGTGGACGATCATTGGAAATACATACAAATGTTTTGCATATGTATTGTTTCATCTACTTACAGAGAACATGCTTTTTTTATTACTATTTCACCAGAAATGTTCATCTGATGGGGTAATATACGTAGACATATGTCGCACTCCAACTATTCACGCTTTAGCACATCGGTCTTGTAGTTCAAGATCACAATCAGTAAAATAAACTAAAATATCCATTCACTATGATGAGACTCCCCCCCACCCACCCTGCAAAAATAAGTTAAGAACACATCCACATTCTTTTTCTCTCCCTACCCAGCAGTGGATAGAACATGTCTGATGATGATGACGTATCACAGTAATCATAGCATCGGCTAAATTGCAGGACTATTTAACGGTATTGTGTACCAATAGAATTGGACATCTGCCCTCCTGTTCTCCCAATCCACCGCGAACGATCTTTAAAAAAAAAGCTTGTGCTTCTTAACCGTGTCATTTGTGGCATGTGTGTCACATGTCCATATTCCTTGTGCAGTTTGGAAGATTTATTTGACATTTAAGTCTCAAGCATTTTAACTGGCTCTAAGAATGCTAAGTTTGCAGAATTGAGCATGTGAATGTCACGTTGCACTGTGTCGACATGGATGGACTAATATGACCATGGCCCACTTTTGTGAGACCCTTTGAAAATTTCTAACACTAAATTTATATTGGGAGCACTGAAGATTTGAAACTCTGTAAGGTGTATAAATAACATTGTGTTTTACATACGTATATCAACGTCTCAAAATGTTGCATTGAATGTGATTTTATTTTGTATATATATGAAATAGATTCTAACTGAATATAGGGAACCTCGCAATACACAGTAAACATATGCAGTACTTTTGTTACCCAATTAAGATAGCACTCCTCCAAATTTAGTTACAACAGTTCGGTGTTATTTAGGTCAGACTTAATTAATAATTAAATCGCACACATCTAAAAATATGAAGGTTTCGAATTTTCTTGTTTCCACTATGTACGAATTCTTGCGATACGCATTTATTTCTCATGCTGCCCTACAGTGTTGCATTACTATCCTGTTGCATTCTGGAATAGTTTCAGTTGTGGAGAAACGTATATTCTTCACTGAATACCATTTGTCCAGGGGCGTGTTGTTTGCAAAGGGTACATTGTAATGTAGTAATGGTTAGCAGCCTGGACTTGCAATTGAGAGGTTGCTGGTGCAATCCAGAGTTTGCCTGTTCAATCTGTCATCGTGGCAGATGAAACACTGGGCAAGTTTATAAAATGCCTCTGTCAACCCAGAAGTATAAATAAGTACATCACAGTCCATCTGCAGGTCGCATGTGGTGGAGTAAGGTGAGGATACAGTACTCTTACTACTTCCAAGACGTCTGGCCAGCTTGAAGAAAAGGCCAAAATAGCTTCCAGACGGGCTCTTTGGAGCTCTTTGAGGTCGAGGCTCTGTCACCAACAGGGGCGTGAGCAAGTAAGCACAGGGTTGCACCTTTACCGGATCTTGCATTCAAAGGTAATAGAGAGATGAGTGTTTACTGGTTAAATTGCCCAGAAAAAAACCCCCAAAGGTTATTTATCGATTGTGTATGCCGTACGTGTGCATCATCCCACAGTGGGGAAGCCACACAAGTGCTGCTACTGTGGGCGGAGCTACAAGCAGAGGAGCTCACTGGAGGAGCACAAGGAGCGCTGCCACTCGTACCTACAGGGCCTGCAGGACCGGCCACTTCCCAGGCATGGGCTGCCACGCTCGTACGCGCATTTATACACGACACACATTCATTTGCACGAGAGGAAGAAGCGCCACATCCTTCTCTCGGTTGTAATTGCCATGGTAGACAAGGTAGAGAAGGTCCCCCCCCCCCCAATAATTGCTAATTACTGACAGGGAACTGTGCAGGGTCATTGACTGGACATGGCAGTTGCAAGGGGCATGGATAAAATATAACCTATGGATAACTAAATGATTTATCATTCATGCACCTGTATTGCAAGAGAAACTAGCACTCAGCTTAAACATACGCGGAAACGTGTGTTCAATATGCACTCAGCTTTTGTGCATTGTGCAAAATCCAATATCAGTTCCTGAAGAACTGCATTGTGGTCCTCTTGTCTAAGGTCTGAGGTCACTATCAAAATAAATTTGAGAAAACATGACCGACTGACAGCAGTGAGACAGAGAGACTAATATATTTCCTGTTTATTTTTGTTATGATGTGTTTTGTCATTATTTACAGATTAAAAACGAGGACTGTTGCATTATGAACATGTGCAAAACATTGCGTACATGTGTTGTTTAGGTGAATGTGTATTATTCATCATCTTAATATCCATCAATCCACTCTTCACTATTAAGCAGTGAATACAGCATTTTTTAATTAGTCCCCTTTATGATTATCTTTCTTCGATGCTGTGTTTGTATATAATTAGTCACATTGTTGATTTTACTATCTGCATGTAATTCACTAACTATTGGTAACAGAGTTTAAACTATGTATAATTAGTTAATGCTCTTGTTAATATATCCGATAAATCCTAATCTTACCATTTGGTCTAGGTCATGAGCATGCAATCTTAAGCTTTGGCTGGCACTACTTTATACTATATGCTGACAATAGAAGCTTGACAGGAGCTTGTTTAAAATATGCAATAAAATTGAATAAACATTAATGTGCCTCTAAAACATTAACCATGCTCTTCAGCATTTCACAAACTGTACTTTGTCGGAAATTACCGACTGAAAATACCTATGTCATTTCAGACAATGGGAATCTTTCATGAATACACCTACATATACACCCACACAGTCTGATGCAAAATACACATGCACCACGTGAAATTGTACCAAAGCACTATTCTATGCACACACAGAGTAATACCACACACCATCACACAATCCAGTGCCCTGGTAAATATAAACTCATAGCCTGAGTCACAAATCTCCCCCAAGTAGAGGACTTTTCTCACTATTAATTCACTTAGATATCTCGCCTTAATGGCTGTTTGTTAATGTGAAAAAACAGCATATCTTTCTTACAATATGCATGTATTGTACATATCTTCTGAATGCAACCACATTTAAAGATACTCCAAATAACATTGTGCATACATATATATTTCACAGAGAGGAAGAGAAATAGGCAGGCGAAAAATAAAAGGTTTTGAATAGGGGCAGGGAGTTGGTGTCACGGATGACTGGGGAAGGGAGTTGCAGATGGTGAGAATGGCAGAGAAGGAATGGGCAACATCCCACTGAGTGAAGGTTGACTGAGGGCTCCAACAGAAAGCCTTGACTGCGGGAGCAGAGAGAATGTGTAGAGGAGTAGAGTGAGATGAGAGGGGAGTGGTCGGCAAGGGGCAAGTCTATGACAGTGAGTGCTATCTGGAACTCTATCTGATATTGGTGTAGACGTCAGTCGAGGGATTGAAGAATTGGGGTGATGTTCTCTCATTTTATATGCACCTTGTTCCTGCTAATCTGGGCAAAACATTCACCACTACTACCTATATATATACACACACATTTAAACAAAGATCCACCTTGTTGTTTTCATCGTTACACTCTTGAAGACAATTCAGTTAGTAAGCTCCTGTTGTGACACGCGGGTCTGTGTGGAGGGATAGGCAAGTAATACGATTTCCCAGCCATCTTTTCTCACAATTACTAGTGTTCACAGTGCGATGTAAGCCACCCATTTTAGATTATTAATCTGGTGGAGGTCCATGACTGGCTCAGATGCGAATTATAGTGCTACTGAAGTACTTAGTTTTACTGTAAATTATTGTTATTTACGATGAGACTGTCAGTAAGCACAATGCATTGTCCTCACAATAAAGCTTAAATATATTTAAAAAAATAGCTGTCTTCCTCTACATAATGCGATCGAAAAGAATAGTGGAAAAATAATTAAATATCACACATGGACACGGTGTGTTTGTGAGTGTCCAGGCACCTGCAGGTTTTCTGATAACATAGATGTTCACATGTATTCTTGAGTCCTTCTTTAAATAGTTAAGCCTGTATACCAAATCCTGAGCAGAAGACATCCCCATTACTATTAAAGTTAATGTTTATAAAGATGCTTATCTGAAAATCTGAGTGTTTTCTATACATCCACCTCTTAATTTTTAAAGAGACAGCACAGCAGTAAAAACAAAACAGGCGCTAACTTAGTGACGCATGCCTGCGATTGCCACAATTAAACCCCAATACCTTGGTGATCTCGTCAAGGAGCATAAATCACCACGCAACAGCTTTTGTCGAGCCATCGAACAAAGACGGTCACTGCATCGCGCGCTTTCAGATATGCTTCTGCACCCGTCTGGAATGTTCTTATCTTCCGATATTAGGAAGCTACTAGAGCTATGCACTTTTAAATCGAGATTGAAAACTCATTTTTTTGGAACTGCTTTTTGTGTTAAGTTGGTTGTCCTTCCCCCGCATCTCAAAATGGCATAGTTGGCTACATACAGTGCGAAAGAAATTCAACATACATACTCACAATAAAGACCCTGCAAACATAAAACAGTGTCAGCTTTTTTAACCGTTTAAAGTGTTTTTATTATATTAAAATTCGTAATTAAAACACATCACATTGTATACCATATGTTGGCCAAATACAATTTCACTTTTAACCCCTCTAAATATTTTCCAGTATAAAACCAAATATATATTCTTTGGTTCTTTCGGTTAAGTCACGTCTAAAGATATTATTTTAAGATATTATTTTATCTTAAGACGTGACTTAACCGAAAGAACCAAAGAATAATTCCTGCAGTCACGAAAGCTCCATAATTAAGACCAAATATATACTTACCATAATACAGAAGAAAAAAAATTAAGCTGTAAAGTTTTTTAATTAAACATTATATGACGGTTATTTTTATTTAACTGACCGTAAATTCTTTATGACAATATTTTCATCTATATTAGAGGTTTTTTTTATTTAAAAACCTCTATCATGGATGATATTGGTCGCGAAAGCCTAGTACACCATTGTGTGCTAGTGCCCGTAGCCTAAATCAACCTGAATTATAAAACTTGCATAATCATTTATACTCTGCTTCAAATATGATGACCCTGCTTTTTTATTTGAGAAGATAATCCATCTGATTGGACTCTCACTAAAATAAAATAAGGCTAATTAATTATTACACGCACTCTATTTCATAGTTAATTTGTGGACTATACACACACCTACATCCGGCGCCCCTGAATCCTGCAAACTAATGGCCACGAGAAGGACTGAACCCAACATTTCACACATTGTTGCTTGCTGCGTGGAGCTACTGTCAATTCAAGAATTTTGACGCGATGCTGCACATCGGAAGCTTGGTGGCTGCAAACAGTTCATATGTAAATCTGAGTTCATTCATGAAACACTGCATATCTTTGTAAAATTGCTGATTATAAATTATTTTTCCATGTGACAATATTTTGTACCTTTCACTGTATCTGCAAGTCCTATATAATATGGAAATTTGATGTAAAATGTAACTATGAATACAATGAAGAATAATTAAAGTCCTTAGCTATATCCAGAGGCGACTGTAAAACTGTTATTGCATACTTTTGGCAATACATTAATATGGATTAACCCATATAATTGATATATATATGTAATGAGATAAATGCACGTGAAAATAAGTAAGTGAGCTGCCATTATGCACATGAGCAGTAATCTTTTGTGTACATTACATGTGCCTTGTAATTTCAGGTCATATCACGTTAAATCCAGCATGAAATTCCACAGCCAAAAGCTGCTGTGATAAAAGCAGAGAATTACATCTAGAATGTGTCTTAAGACATTCTACCTTTAACATGCTGCCATGGTATCGTGGCCAGCGCACTGAACTTGCAACGCAGTGTGCCGACTCGATTCAATCTCCCCCCCGTGGAGGATGAACCAATGGCCATATTTATTTAACCTTACCCCTCACCTCTGTCCACACAGCAGAACAACAGGGTACAATCATAGTTGGTCGATCAGCAGGTTACGTGTGGTGGGGTAAAGTGTGGGTACTCCCATCCCTTTCCGCGTCTGCCCAGCGTGGTGGACAAATAGGCAGGTGCCTACTAGAGGAGCTTCTCTAGAGCTACTGTCTTCTGTAGTATGGCCTATGAAGATCCACTTTTAGAGATTCAGTTAGAAGTGATTTAGCCATTCAGTTGCTTTGCTGGAGAGTTCGTTAATTTCAGACACAGGATACTGCATTTAAGTTTATGTTTTGGGTAGTGAAAAGTTACATGGTCTGTGGTTTGGAGTTCGCAGCTGGAGTCGCACACAGGAGAGAGAGAGTCTTTAATATTCTACTTGTCCTATAGGTATCCGCACCTTCCCGTCTTCTGTGGTTTGTGTGGATCTAGTTAAGCACTGCCCATTTATTTCGTGAATGATGGAAGCAGGTAGTCTGGTTGTCATGCAGCATTTGTGCTGTGGTTCTTACATGGCTTTCTGGATTTCAGCTGTAGACAGAGTAATTGCTGCTGAAGTTATGCACTCATTAAAAATAATATGTTTTACTTGGAGACAAGGCCGTAATTATAATATATATTGGGGGGACACATCCCCCCCAATATTCAAATATGCTCAAAATGTCCCTCCCAATATATTGCTATAAAATATATTAATTTTTAATCTTGATTTGAAGCTTTCGTAACTGCAGGAATCCATACACTTTGGTTCTTTCGGTAATGTCACGTAGGTATAAAATAAAATAAATCACGACGTTTCGGGCGCAACACAAGCGTCCATCATCAGGTGGGAAAGCATGGTCTGCTGCTGAGGCAAACAGTCTGCCGAAGAGTATAGATTTATTTTTATATAATTGTGGTTATGGTTGTACTTTATTAATCCCTAATCTCTGCCATTACATACAATGAAACAAGAAAATGTAAAAAAGAAAAAACAGAGCAATGTAATACAATACACTATTAGACATTATTGTAAAAAATAATTTAAATAGTCTATCCTATGTGTTAGTGAATTTTTTAATATTTTAGGCAGGAAATGGCAGGAAATTAGTTTTCAAATTTTGATTTTTTTTGGGGGAGGACCCCCAGACTCCCTGGAAGAATTGGTCCCCCCCAATGTTGACTCCTTGGCCACGGCCTTGCTTGGAGAGACAGATATATACGAAGGAAACATTGTCTACTTATATATTTGGCAACCAATGTCTCACTCTGAATCAGTCGTGCGGACATTATATTTTCATCACCGACTGTAACGCTGTGTAGAAGCTACATGGCCTATCACTCTATACGAAGCTCCGGAGTTTTCAACCATAGTTATGCTCTCCCATCTATGCGCTGGTTTGAAACATCTAGGCTAGCCTACATATGATCCATCCTGGGTTTAACAAGACTGTATTGTGTGAGGAACTCACAGATCCTTGAAAGATCTGGACACAGTCCCATTACTAAGCTCCTCCGGCAAGCAAGGCTGTATTGGCTGAGTCATGTAGTCCCCATGCCCAGCCACCACATGCCCATGCAGCCTCTGGTAGGCCAGATAGATGGGGCTAAACAGGCGTGGCACTGGCTAGTGAAGAGATTGGCTGATGTGGAGCTGGTTGGACTTGCCGATAACTGGTACTAGCAGTGTCGAGATTGGCCTCTGTGAAAGAGATTCGTGAATAATGCTATTGGGGAGTCGGAGGCAGTCGCCCTACAGTAACAACGGAGGGCAGATGAGCGGCGCTCATAACAATGAGCAGAGCGCCAGGTGGCTAAAACCCAGAAAGTTGGCACAGTGGAGAGCACAGTTGGTGCATCTGAAAGTCATCTCAGTCAGTTAACCCACGACACCTGGGTCTGTTCAATGACCTCCTGCCAGTGGGTCAACACTTTACATGACCTCAAAGTGCACCAAGCATGGCATACGCATCGTGATGATGTCATCACCACTTAGTGAATGACAGTTGTTATTTATTTTGTTATGCATATTTACAAAGATGATGATTGTGTTTTATGTATTATAGAATGTTGTGTCCAACTAGGACCCATATCTTGCCTATAACATCTGACAATTCGCCAATATTGATTGAGGAAAGCCTGACTGGTGAGACCCGTGAATATAAAAAAAAACTGAGTTTGCTTATACTGAATCAATGCTGCTGAAATTATGCCCTACCAGAAGGCTGGAGGGTTCATGTGTTGCATACAAAATATTACGTGGAGAGACATATGAAGGAGACATATTGTCTGCTTATCTATTTTAAACATGAAAGTATTTTTAAGCTGAAAAGTATGCCTCCAGTATTGTATGTAGCTATGCCTGTATACTAATTTTTTTTTCTTTCATGTAGCTCTCTCAGGCGGTGGAGAAATCAAAGAGCCAGTGTATACAACTGATAAGAACCTGGACAGGTCAGTGCTGTTAAACCAGCTGGCGTACAATGTTGCCAAGAGAAAGAGCAGCGTGCCACAGAAATTTATCGGTAAGAATCATCTTGTTCGTGCCGCTGTAGTGGAAATTATATGCAATATAGCGCAATTTGTTATTTTTGCATGATAGCCACAGGAGCTGAAACAAATGTATTTGTAAGTGCTTTACCACTGTTTTTATATCGATGATTTAGTTGCATTTTATTGTGCGTGATGATACGTTAGTGCTATTTCCTAATTTGCCGAGCATCAAAAAGCACACTTCAAACACATGTTGCTGAAACCCCAGTGTTAGTGGCTGTATTGCTGACATGACTCTATAGTGACACGCCTGCTTATTCACTCACGTTCATCGTGTAACCATTTTTAATGGGTTTATATTGCACGTTACAACAAATGTAGAATTATAAAATTCAGGGATGTGACAGTTCGACATTTAATTTGACTGTGCACAGAATGCACTGGGCAAAGCATTGTGTCCCCTATGAATTCTCACATGTGCAATGCCTCTGCTACGAGCCTTAGATTGTCTCAGAGAGAACCACAATAACCTCTTGCTCATTATTCTCTATACCTGCGACCCAACCTTCAGGTGACAGACAGCTTCCTCTTTCGATGCCACACCTGCAGTACGACATGAGCGCCGCCTTTGACAAGGACTCGCTGCTGATACAAACGCGCGTCATGGACCAAGCCATCAACAACGCCATTTCCTACCTCGGCGCCAAGACCCTGCGCCCCTTTGTGCAGCCTCCGGTGGGTGCGGTGTCAGACCTGCCCCATGCTGTCGGTGGGGTCTACCCCAACTTCTACACACTTCCCACAGCAGACATGAACCCCGCCAGCGATAGAGCTCTCAACAGCTATGCGGGTGCAGGTCGCTCACCTAGCCTCCAGGTCAGGGAAAAACGTCCGGCGCCAGACCGTGCCACTTCGCCGAGCCACAGCTTGGAGGACAGCGCAGACGCCGAGAGCATTCCAGAGGAACACAACTCGACAGGACACCCGACAGACTACTCGTTGGCATCGCGTGAGAGGGGCGCGGAGGAAGCCAGCAAAACAGACTTCAAGGAGGCAATGGACGATGAGAAGGGCAGTGAGGACGGAAAGCCCCTGGATGATGGAAGGGTGCTAAATGGGCTGGCAGATCAAGACACATTCAGCGTAGTCAACAGTGACGGGGAGAAAATCCGGGCCTACAAGTGTCAGCACTGCCGTGTGCTTTTCCTTGACCACGTCATGTACACAATTCACATGGGATGTCACGGCTTTCGAGACCCATTTGAGTGTAATATGTGTGGCTATCACAGCCAGGACCGCTATGAGTTTTCTTCTCACATTGTGCGAGGGGAGCATTCTGTTTTATAGAAGAAGAAAAAGGTTTTTTTTTTCAATGCACAAATTATTTTGCACAAGAATGGTTATACTGTATGTGCACGCCTGCAGTGCTTCCCACCTTTGAGGTGTGTGTCTATGTAGCCAGCTGGTGAATGAGTAGGGAAATGTGTACATTACCTTTGTATTAGACCAATGGTTGTTGCAACGCAAGACTCTTTTCACAGTGGTTATAGATCATTTTGCATCATATCTTTGACACCCATCTTCTTCTGTACGTAATGAGGATTGAGGTAAAACATACCTTTTAAAGTAATGTTAAACATATTGTATGCGACTCTTTCATGCAAATTTGATCATAACACTGCTTGTCACATAAACATAATTGTCAATGTAAAATAGCACGTAATCATAATTTTAAAACAGGAATTTTATTAAGTGTACATATTAAACTATTATATTAATTCATAGGAGTTACATTTAATGGACAGTTATTTAGTTTTCTTTCTGGATACCTAACAGTAAGAGAGCCATCATTGATCCATTTATAATTCACAGCCTGTTTTTTTTTTAAGGTTTCTGAAACTGCTTTTGTTTGAGCATTAATATGTTATTGCATGACTTTGTATTGTTTCCATACTTTTCATGTTAGAACATGGAACTCAGATGTGATATTTTGGTCCTCATTGTTCGGTTGTATTATCACTTTTGTAAATGTGTTCCATCTTGACTTAAAGCTTTCGTGACTGCAGGAATTCATATTCTTTGGGTCTTTTGGTAAAGCCCCGTAGATAGAGAAAATAAAATAAAAAATATTATTTGTTATTATTTGTATTATTTGTTCTATCGACGTGGCTTTCCCGAAAGAACCAAAGAATATAAATGTGTTCCATTATCGATGTCAATATTGCATGCATTTTCTTTTAGATAATTTAAACTGGTTATGGCTGACAACACAGGAATACAGTTTGCTTCACCAGTGGACTTTTTGTTAAATAACTTGCTCAGAACTGTTCGAATTTATATGTATATATACAATACAGTAATGATACTATCTTGATTTGAAGTTTTCGTGACTGCAGGAATCCATATTCTTTGGTTCTTTCGGTAAAGTCACCTACGTGACGTAGGTGACTTACGTGACGTAGGTGACTTTACCGAAAGAACCAAAGAGTATAGTAATGATACTACTATATATAGTGAGGTACATGGATGTACGTATTTATATATGTATACAGTGAAACTAATGTTTTGAAAACCTCTTGTGATGACCATTTATCAAGACTGGCATGCTGGTGTGTGTATAAAAATACTTATGAGTTAGAATGAGAATCAGGTTGACATATAAAGCATGAAAACTGAGGTGTATTTTCATAAAGCCATGGAATATGCACATTGGCTTTATTCATCATATCCATATTCAGTATTGATATGTTATTAGGGGCTAACATTTTTACTAAAGTTTTTGACTTGCCTAATTATAACCAAATTTTACAAATGTGTTGTTTTCTCTTTTATGAGCGAACTCTCATTGCCATCACTAAAAGACCATCCATAATTCCCTGGTACAATTATTATTGTGAAACCTAAGATTGTAGCCAATGCATATGAAATGTATACTTCTGTATCAAAATTCTTCTGTCGTTTTTAACGTGTTGCTGCCTCTTACAAGGTGGTCTAAAATGTGGTTTCGTGTATTGTATGCAGCACATCCGGTATTCATGACTGAGTTTGATATAAAGCACAAGCTGCCCCTTAACCATAGCCAAGACCAAGCCCTCAATTTCTCAATAACTTCAAATGCCAAACCAAAACAGTAACCACCGTTCACACTTTCTTCCACTGTACCTAACCAATGTCTGTAAAGTAACGCTTTAGGCAGTTCAAAGCTAGGAAATTAAAAGTGTATGTTTGCATAACGTTTTCAGGGTTCCACATATGCAGTTTGTTGCGTTAGTATGCCGATATTGCAGATACAGGAACGATTCATAGGAAAATAATTATTAATGAAAAGTAAATTAAAAATACCACACCACCATTGATATCTAGATAAAACACACTTGCAACATTGGATATATCAGTTCTTAGAGCAGGAGATAAAATTAACAACGTTTCATTAGACCATGAAAAACACTTTATTAACTCTGAGGTGCATTACGTGGTATGGAGGTTGTTGACTTGAATATTTTGACAGGATCAAAAAAAAATTATTTTCTAGGATTGTGTGCAACATTTATCAAATTTTGTATGCCACACTAAACTCATGGCTGATGCATTTAGAAACAAATTCAAGACTTACATTTACATTGTCTGATTTCCATATAGTATTGAGGGGATTTTGCACGGTAAGCTTTAATCGTGCTCATGACAGTTTTCCTTTTAAAGCCACCATTTTATGCAAAAGGTTATACACAGTTTATTATTCGTCAATTTGCCATTAAACGCAGCAGCTGAAAATAGAAATAACGCTCTTAACGTTAATTTTCACAGGAATGGAATAAGTTTAATAGTTTATGTTTAAAGGATCAATAATAATCATGTGAAACATAAAAACATTAACGTAACTTCCGGGGTTTTACCCGAAATATATTTTAAAAAAACTGTTCTATGAACTAAATGCAGGCTTCCTGTTTAAATGAACTTTAGCAACATATTTAAGAATACATGTAATCTGTGAAGGAGATTTGCCATAATGGTTCATGTGAAAGGGTGACCACTATCAAGATAAGCAGGAATAAAGCAGTTCTCTAGCAATATGTGCATCAACTGTGTGAGAGCAATGTTTGCTTCAGAATTCTCTGCTCCGACAAATGGTGGTAAAGTATCAGTGCCCTGTGCTTTCAAATTCACATTTCCACAAGTGAATGTTGAAGTATCCTCAATGGGATGACCTACAAACTAGTTATAGGCTCTATATTGTTTCGTCTCGCTGTTATATGCAGCAAGATTGCATAGGATTTCACTCCGTGAATATTTTAGCCCATCGATCGGAAGCTGCAGAAATATCTGCATTTAACAAGATTTGATACGAGAGGCCGTTGTATACACGCTGAATGGGGAACAAAAAAAATATACACGCATATTTTTAATTGTCCTTTAAGGGTGTTTGATTCATGCTCCAAAAGGAAATTAAGGGGGGTTTGTTAAAGGAAGTTGCTGCTTCCGTAGCTTTCTGCTGCTGGCTGTGGTGGCGGCGAGTTATCGCTGAGCATCTGATGCCTGGGAGCCTGTGTACACACTCGCGTTTAAGACACATTTATTGATCAACGTGCAGTTTGGGAAACACTTGTCTCGGAGCCCATTATTGTTGCTATATGAATTGAATGAAATAAATGTTTACAATTGAATTATTTTGGAACATGTGTCTAACAAGTTCTTTGTTGTGCGGTATTTTGTAATTACGTGTCATATTATAAGGTTACTTAAAATAATTATGCTAACTGGACATGTTGATGTAGGTACAGTCTGTAAGTGCAATAACATGTTTCCAACTCACAGGTTACTGCAATATGTTTTCCATTGGAAACAAGATGTGCATGATCCTATACATTATACAACTACTGAAAAACAGGTTTTCCCAAAATCAACGAAGCTTTTTTAATTTTGAAATTATATTCCCAAAAAATACTTTGAAATAAATTCCTCAACCATGACAAGAGTATTCACATCATTTTACACATATACACTTACTAGCTGTACTACCCCGGCTTCGTCCGGGACTTGGATTTACCACACCCGGCCGCCTTTGTCTCCCCATCGGCGATGTTCACACACCACACCAGTTACTCGTTTGAGGCTGAGTCGACCTAGGGGAGGCCCAGGACTGGTTCAAATTATCGTCATCGGTGGTGGCCGTGAGCAGGAATCGAACTCTGGTCGCCGGGTTCACAGCGCAGCGCCGCTAACCACTACACTACAATGCGTTACGCTTCCACATGCGCGGGTCACGTGGCAGATTTGACGTCACAGCTCACTTGCCGTGCACAAAATATCTGCATTATTGAGCTCCCCCCCCCCCCAAAAAAAATGAAGTGTCTTTTTAAAATGTTTGCATGGTGTACAGTCTGGAAAGTACCCACATGGCAAATTTCAAGTTTGTTGCATGTCGGGAAGTACGCTAAACATTTTGAACAGACACATAATCACAACTTTGCCTTTTATATATATAGGGATATTATGCAATAAAATAATTGGGTTGCATTGATGAAGTCTCCAATGTTAGGCACATTACAGTATTAATATAAATAGTTGAATCCGATTTAGAGTAAGTACTGTATGTACTGTGTCCATGGTTTGTTGGCCTCAATTGTTATTTTTATTTTGCTACCTACGTGACTTTACCTAAATAACCAAAGAGTATGGATTCCTGCAGTCACGAAAGCTTCAAATGAAGCTTGTTGTTATACTGTTCCCGCTAATATTTTAGAAAGCATTTATACACACGAATAGGAGGATAATACGTTAGTTAGTCTTCAAGTCGGTTTCATCACGGCATTTTTAATAACGGGTTTATTGAGGCATCAAGCGGTGACTGCGGTATATCTCTCCGTTCAAACATTTGCACGAACCCACACGTTCGTATTGTTCCAGCAGTTGGTTGAGGCTCCTTGATCATATCCACAGTAAAATCTGATCTGGGAACTTTGCCCCTTTTTCACACTGCAAGGGGCAGAGTTCACTTCTTGTATGGTATCTGCAACGTCCTCTTCATCTGAGAGGCAGTCTGATTCTTGAACTACGTGCATTGTATTGCAAGAGATCTGTATGAAAATCTCTCCAATTTTAAGATTGTATTGTGAGTTAAAGTTCCAACTTTCCTCCCAAGGGGTAATTTCCAATCATCGACCTTTTTGTTGTTCTCATGCTCCCATTGATTGCAATGATGTCTTCAATATTTTCATACATTTCATTTTTTCACGTCATACTTTTATTAAAATGTGTATTGTATATATAGATACAACAACATTAATACTGTTTTATATATGGCGTTTGTATTAACAGTCACAACTTATCAAATTATTAAGTTTAATGCGTTATTGGCTTACCTTATATGGAAATCGAAGACCAAAAATGGCTTCATCACAATATAATGATAACTCATAAGCACAATATTATAGCTTTAATATTAACCTCCCATTTTATATTATTAACTTCATTTACACAGTATGTTTGTATGCACCATGCAACACCGTTATTTGCAGTCACTGGTTTTGCATGATTAAGCATTCCATGATGAAACAGGTGACGACATTTTTTCATTGAGGTGTTTATTTTAAAGTGAATGTATTTTTGATCATTCATAATGACAGGTCCCTAAAGGTAAATACAATATAGTAACACGTAATTTATAAATAACGTGATCTAACCCTAAAACCTTTATTATGAACGTAATTAGAAGCTAGAGCAGGTTTAATTCAACACTTTATATTACATGTGTAGGACTCTTACTGACACGACAACTTCTTTGTCTTTCTCGTTCCTTTTATTTCGCTTATAGTTCACATCTCCGACAGCATAGTTCAATGTTCCTCCATACTCTTCAATGTACAATTCCTCATCAACCCCACTCAATGTCCCTCCGTTCGCTCGCTCCGCTTCGCTGCTTCGCCGTTTCGCTCGCTCTCTCTCTCTAAAGCCAAGGTCCGTTACTCCGCTGCTCCTACGCTCTACTCGCTACGTCCTTGCTACTCCGTCCGTACTCTCTCTCCACTGCTACCGTATACTGTATTCTCTTGGTCCACTGCTACCTTATACTATACACTCTTGCCCACTGTTACCCTATACTATACACTCTTGTCCACTGCTACACTCTTGTCCCAGGCACCAACTCCAACGCCAGCTCCAACTGCGACTCCAACACTCACAATGACTCCGTATCTCCATACGCTCTCTGCCTTTATCTCCGAACCAATTAGCCCCAATTAATTATGTCATCCCCTGCCAGCCTCATGTGATGTTGTTATCGTAGACACCCCGGCGCCTGTCTCGACCACTCACCCTCTCGACCAATCACCGGCCTGCGTCCTCAGTTACCCTTAACACCTGTGGCGTCTCTTAATGACCTCACCCCTTAATTGGCGCAACAACAACTTTATGGGTGCGTCTACTGTCCGTGTCCCCGGTTGCCCCCACTGTCTGCTGCATGTTCGCATCGCAACCAAACGCGTGGCGCATGTTATCTCAAGTCCTACACATGTGTTAACACGTGAAGCTCTATCCATTTCATTTTGTATTATTGGTCAATTATACATATTTACAGGTGAGAATTGTATCATAATCCTCTCAAGTTCATTGCAATACCATTCAAAAGTAATCATTTTATATTTACACTTCATGAATTGTCATGCACATTAGCAAGTATTTTTTTTATTCTGTGTAAGTAAATTAACACAAAATATTAAAATGTGTTAACTTAGGCTTCTAATTTAGGTTCTAAATCTACCTTAAAACGTATCATCCCATGACACCACTCCCACTCTCCGTTTGACCCTTGACGCCCCCTGTAGAAGTCATCATTGAAACCTGAACATTGCACTCTGGACATTCACTAAAATCTGCCCCCCCCCCCCCACGAATATCTGAAGAGACCAGCAGTTGGGCTGTCTTCATCCTAAAAGTGATCTTAAACAAATCTTCCAATTATCTAAAGGACCATTTAGTTCCTACAACTCCCTGCCGTAACCTCCAAAAGTGCCTCGTTATTCCTACAAAAAAAATGAATTTGCCAAAACCTTGTTTGGTAAAAAGTATTTACCATGTCGCTGCTCTGCGCTTCTGGAATACCCTTACCGCTCATATCCCATATTAAACCAAAACGCAGAGCTTACTAGCACATGTAGCTAACTTTTCGAATGACATCTCTAGCTCCCACATATTTTGACTGTCTTTATTTTTGCTGCGTTTGTTTACGTCACTGTTAGACAAGATATTGAGAATCACTTGGAACTGTACCAAACGATTTCTGGCACCTCTTGCTGTCATGTTGTATTTGCACAGTTTTTTTAATTCACCATTTTGTTTCATTTATGACCGCTAAATACCTCATTTGTCAGTTGTGAAATATTCCTCAAAGACCCCTCTACTCGTTCTCTACAAGATTGATGTTTTAGTCTTTAAATCTTGACTTAAAGCTTTCGTGACTGCAGGAATTCATATTCTTGGATCTTTCGGTAAAGTCATGTAGATAGGTTCAAAGAAAATAACAAAAATAACCAAAAACTGTGACGTTTCCATCGCAACACAAGCGGTCGTCTTTAGGAAAAAGGCAAACTGTTTATAAGGGTTTGAAATGGGCGTAGCCCAAATGTCAGCAGCCAATGATAATGTAAGTGGTGGACAGCCAACCAGACGGTGGTTGGTTTTCCACCAATCAAAGGGCTGCCAGGTGAAAATTAGCATGTTAAAGAGAGATTAGCATGTTAATGGGAGATCGCAGAGCCGCAACGAAGGGGTCGGCGTGCGAAGTGACTATGAAAGTGCAAGTTTGAAATGGGCGTAAAGCACGACCAAAATCGGAAGGTGGTAGGATGGGAACGTCATAACCAATTATGACATAAACTGGTTGATAACGTCCTTCCAATGATTGCTCAGTTTGTACCCATCTTCTTGGTTTAAATTGTGTCTGTGTCTATATATATGGATGGCTTCATGAACGAATCTTTGTTTATAGCCAGTGGGCTTGCAAAGTACCTTCGTCTTAGAGAAATCAATTTCGCGTGAGCCCACCGCATTAAAACAATGATCAGCCACGGCCAAGGTATTGGTCCTACCATGTTTCAGATCTGCCTTATGTTCACGAACACGGTCCGAGACATGTCTCTTAGTTTCCCCAATGTAGCTACTGCCGCAGACACAGCTTAGTTTGTAGATGCCAGAGTATTGCATGTCAGGGATCACATTCTTCACAGATGGGATCAGTTCACGAATTTCATGTACTGTGTTAAATCGAAACTGGATCTTGTGTTTGCTCATGATTTTTGGAAATATTTTAGTGAGCCCTTCTATTTATGGCGATGGTTTTGATTGGGTCCTTAGATGGTTCTTTACCAACGGTTGGGGTGATAGCTTTATGGATTGTGTAGTCTGAATATCCATTCATCTTGAGAGCTTGGTGTACGTGTTCCAGTTCACTGGCTAGGTGATGACGGTCGGAAATACATCGAGCTCTATGGTGTAGAGTTTTGATGAGGGAATTCTTCTGGGATTGATGGTGGTGGGAGTCAGGTTTTAGGTAGGCATCCGTATGGGTGGCTTTCCTGTAGACAGTGTCCTATTGAGCCATCTGGTCTATTTTCTATTAAACATCCAAGAATGGTAACTTTGTTTTGTTGCTGCTGTGCTTGCGCACCATGGGTCTTCCTGGCAGAATAGCCGGCAACTGGCTAAATGG